GATGCATTGTTTGATAAAAAAAAATAATGAAGTTGAGGGTAGAGCTATATGGACCAAAGGAGGAGACTAAACTATAATAAATTAGGGGCCCAACACATAATTATGCTTTGGTATAGAGAAGAGGGTCCCCTCCTTTTAAATTGGACATACAAAATGTCTTCATCAAGACAGTTTATATGAAAGAATTACCTAAAGTGTGTTGAAACTTGAAACAACTGGCTACTTAATCATTAATCACTTGCTTGAACAACCTAACATGTAAACATGAACATCCATGCTAATATCTAATATCAAATATGTATATACTTTAACAAAATTTATATACCAGATGTGACATTTATATAAACAAATTAAAGATGTGACATTTCTCAATATTAGTACGTATTTTTGTTTGAAAAATTTGAAGTGTGGATTCACCTAACCGTTGGTCAATCTCATACGACAATTTGTGAAAATTCAATGAATTTCAAGATCCATTTGTTTTTAAGTACTTAGGATCAAAATTCCATTGATTTGTTATAACTTGTGGGGGTGCATTGTGGTCCGTGGAGTAGTATATATATATTCCAAATGCAATTGGAAATCCATTATCTGACTTTGAAGGCAATTTATATTTTATTTATCACGGGACAAGTGACTGTAAATCAATGAGCCCATATAAAAACTATAGCAATCAACTTGTTCAATTTTTCTATTGGAACTTATTTTAGTTTTCATAGTAGGGTCCATATTTATGCCACAAGCCTGCTCTCTCTAATCTCTATTATTGTCTGCACAAGTTGTATTATGCACCCTTTATATAGTTTCATCTAATTTTATATTGAAACTTAAGAAATAGAAATACATGCAATAGAAATATAATATAAATAATTATAAATGCAAGCAGGAAGGCTACTGTTTGACCGACATAACAATTAGTCAATTAAGTTTTTTCAATATATATGTATACTTTCAATTTAAAACATTATATTAAAGAATACAAATAAAAATATAATATTTTATAACATAAATATAATTTTTTATAAAAAAGGTATAGCATATCGACTAGTTTAATAGGTAGGCAAGTAAAATAAAAATTGTGTTGCAAATATATTTACGTCTGTTTAAGCTATAACTCGTTTTCATTTTCAATGCGGACTTCAGAAAATCTGCTCTAAAATTGGAAACAGAGTGATGAAATGATTGCATATTTCTGAATACACAGTGGACTTGAGCATAGGGGTGTTCATCGGTCGGTTCGGAAATACAAAAACCGAATTAACCGAATTGCTATATGTCAAAAACCGAACCGACCGATGTGCTTAAAACCGAAACATAACCGAACCGAATTATTCGGTCGGTTAACCGAACTTTAACAAAAACAATCTTTTTCGGATTGTTTACTACAAATAAAAAAAACAATGGATACAGAGTATAGACTGAACAAATAGTGTAAAACCCCCATTCCAGCTTGTACAAATCTCAAGATTCTGTGCTAACTATCCAAATCAAAATTCAGAACTAAGCATTATATTCTCCCAAACGAATCAGAAAATAAATCTCACAAACATACATGATTAACAGAATCAGTCAACATATACATCTCACAATTCACAAACATACATTATCTTCACTACAAGTTTGGAATTAGAAAATAAAACAAAAAAAGACTTCACCTTTATTTGAGATGGAACTGAGATTTTTGGAGGGACGAAAATTTGGTAAAAGACTTTCGCCCTTGACGGTGAACTGTGTGCCCGGCTGAAACCTCCAAGCTCAGCGCCCTCGACCGACGAATCGACTACCGGCGACAAGGAGGAGTCGCAGACGCAGCTACTTGAACCGGAGAAGACGATTTGGTAATTAGGGGATGATATAGAATGGGGCGATTTAGGGGGGAGGAGGAGCGGCGGCGACAGCGGAAGATTTGGGGGCGGCGGTGAAAAGAGAATAGGGAGAGGAGAAGAGACCGACAGTTTTTTTTTTTTTAATCTGCACTCTGCTGTATGTATAATGTATGTTAGGGATTAGGGATAAAGGGTATTGAAATTGAAATATTAAATTGAAATATTATATTATAATATACTAGTACCCGTGCGATGCACGGGATGTACATTTTTAAGGCTATTTATCTAGGCTTATAATTATATACATGAATAAAGAAAGATGTACGGAATATATATAGTACGTGACCCGTGCAAAGCACGAGATATATTTATTTAGAGAATATTATATTATAAGATGCAATATTCAATAAAAGTTTATAATACGCAAGAAAATTATACAATGTTCAATAAAAGTTGTATAATATTCAAGTGGAGTCTTAAAGTCTCTTGTACATTAAGACTACTGACAAAATAATATTTTAATCAATGAGTTTCCTTTTCTTGTAGCCAAATTGTGAATGTGATTTAAGGAGTACAACAAATCGATATATAGCTGACTTGCTTTTTTCATTGTAGTTTTTTTTTTTTATATATAATGAATTTAAAGATATTCTAAAATATAGCAAAAATTAATTTTTTTATTACAATTAGGAATTTTACTAAATATAAACTCTCAATCTATGGTGTTAATCAACGTTTAAGTCTAAAAAATTAGAAATTTTTACCTCTTTTAATCAACGTTTAAGTCTAAAAAACAATAGAGTTATTCTAAGTTTTTTTTTCTACATCTTTTAAGACATTAAATATGAGCATGTTAGGGCTAGCTTGTAAAATAATTAATATATTATCTCACTAAAACATTTATACTAATAAAAATTTAATTTTAGCATATAAATTTATCCCTTGATATAAGAGAAAGTAACAGTTTTACTTATTGTTGTTCACCATATAATATTTAATTATTATTTTATTATATAATAAAAAAGGAATATTGTTAAATAGTGTAGTAGAATTGTTATAAAATTATATGATTTTTTTTTTACAATATGGATTTAATATTTTTTTATGATTTGATAATATAAACAAATCTATACTTAACTTTGACAAATAAAACAAACAAATACTTTAGTAAGTATTTAATGTATATACTAAATAGGAATATATTTGGTATAATCAAATACCAAATATAATCAAATAAGTCAAAGTGTACATTTTTATTTGGTATTTGATTTTTTTATTATTAAAATCTTTTTATTATACTTACCTTTTTAAAATAAAAAAAATAAATAAAACAATTAAATAAATAAAATATTATAATACCAAAATAGTAATGACATTTAATGCAGTTGACTTTTCTGGATAGTAAATATAGTAAATAGAATCTCTTTTTCTATAAGTATAGATTGTATAATACGGAAATAGTAATGCAATAAATGTTGTTGACTTTTTTTTTATATTAAATCTGGTAAATGATATACCTTTTAATATAAGTATAGATATATTTTAATTAATTGTCACGTGGTGAGTATAATAATAATAATAATATATAATTTATTTAATCAACTGATTACGTGCATACTATAATAATAATAGTAATAAACAATCGATAGCACACGTTTTGAAAAGTTAAAGGCAATCAATCAATTCACATGAATTATAGGTGAGATTAATGAAAGGTGAGATAATATCCGTTCATTTATATAATCTAGTGTGAAAAGGACATAAAGAAAAAGTGTGAAAAGGACATAAAAGTTACTAATTTTAGTAAACCGAACCGAATTGATCGGTTCGGTCGGTTTCGGTCGGTTCGGTCGATTCGGTCGATTTCAATCAAATTTTGCACACCCCTACTTGAGCAGGTAACAATTAAAAATAAAAACAAGAAACTTTCTTCTGTCGGTTAGGTTGACCAAACTTTGTAACATTTTTATTTTATTTTCAATTTTCATATATAGCATTTAGATAGCGTAAAGGTGTGATGCCTTAATATGTATGTTTTAATTTTATCGAATGGCTAATTCAAAAGAGTTCAAAAATAACAGTTTATTATATTACAAACAAAAATTTACTTGTCTGCAACTTTATATAACAATGCATAAAATATTATGTATTTTTTAGAGTAATGCTATATTGTCAACCTAGTATACAACTAGATTGACAACATAAATGAAACCATCTACAAAAATAAAAATAAAAAAATACACAAGTGGATGTTTTCACTTGTGTTGTTGATGTAGGGAAGCGCACAAATAGAAAGGATAAACGAGATACTCTCTCGATATAACTCACAATCTTATTTCATTTAAATAATCCATCACTGGATAACAAAGAAGAGGAGTCTTTAAATAAGACACCCAAAATCCTAAACTAACTTGTCCAACAAGACAAGATCTCTTATAATAATATTAATTTTTAATTAATAATAATAATAATAATAATAATAATAATAATCTACACCATTCTCCCCCGGTTCGAAAGGCTTCGCCCTCAAAGCCGATGCGCACCCGTGGCCAGCGTGTGGTGTCGAACCATAGTAGGAAACTCTCGTCGTTTTCCCCGGTCGAACACGAAGGTTGAACGGCACTGTGATCTACCTTGGCGAGCCACAAAATCCTCGGTTGCGCGAATGACACTTTTCCTCTTCTCTACTTGAGTTACCCGGCCAACCCAAACAAATACTTCGGAACCACAATCTAATAAATAACATTTTTTGTTTCCGAGAATCGACTTTGAAAGTACACCATCGTCAACAATGGCAACCTCACACTTCCCTTCATGAAATTGCTGCAACATATATAACTGCGTGTCTTTTTCAACGGTTTTGATAGCAGCAGTTCCATCTTCATCCTTCAGCCCTGAAGGCTCTTCATCAAAGATCGGCGGACCGTCGTAGAGACCGTCTACTTCGCCAGTAAGACACTCCTCCACCTCCTCGGGTCCTTCATCAAACACAGGCGGACCATCGTACAATGGCCCGTCAAATTGCTCTCCGTCGAATTCGGAGATGTCAACGCGAAACAGGCCCTCCCATCGACCATATTCGCGATCAAGTCTCCAATCGTGTCGGGCACGATATCCGCCGGCGAAGGTAGCCTCCTCGCGCCTGCCTTTGTCGTAGCGTTGATCGTCGCCGTCCACGAAGACCAGGCCCCGTCGTCGCATGTCACGGCCGCCGTATGCAGCGAAGGGGTCAGTCTCGACGTGCGAGGTTGGAAAATCATAGAAGAGATTCACCCCTGAGACTATCTCCTCATCGTCTTCGTCGCCGGACGGTGGTTGTGGAGATCTCCGGCGGAGCGCCCCGCCTGGACCACGGCCTCCACGTCCTCCGTAAATTCCCCCGCACACGCCCCGGTTGCCGGCGTCACGGTACGTTTGCTTGTCCCGAACCATGGTACGGATAGTTAGACGTATGTCCCCGATCTCCGCGGACAGATCTGCAATCTGACAACCCATCATCTCGAGCTCGCGGCCAAACCACTCGGCCCGGCGGCTCAGGTTGTAGATGGCAGCGACACGCCTATCGTTTGCAGCATCTTGTCGGCGCGACAGCATCGTGAATCGTGCTGACTTCTGATAACAACTGATGTAGGGAAACGTACGAATCGGAAGGATAAACGAGATACTCTCTCGATGTAACTCACAATCTTATTTCATTTCAATAATCAACTGAATAAAATAATAGATGAGGATCCCTTTAAATAAAACACCCTAAACTAACTTATTCAACAAGACAAGATCTCTTATAATAATATTAATTTCTAACTAATAATAATAATAATAATAATAATAATAATAATAATAATAATAATAATAATCTACACCAGTTGTCAACCTAGTTGTAATGTAGCATATTTCATTTTTTTATGTTTATCTAAAGAATACGTGTTTTATTTTAAGTTTACAATATACTTGCATCAACTTAATTTACACAATTTGTACTGATTGGCTCATGTGTTTGTACCGGCTATATAGTAATTATTAATTTTAGTAAAAAAAAAATAAAAAAATGGAAGTGTTTGAAAAAGTCAATGTTTGGAGAATAAATATTCAAGAAAGTCTGGCCTTTTCCTTTTGGCTTTTTTCCACTTTTTATAAGTTCTGTTTTCTTGTGTTATAATTTGTTTTTTATAAGATATTGTTCAATTTTATAATTTTAATCAATAACCACTCCACTCCCCGTATAATAAAATCATTTAATGAAACCACTATATAGGACTCTTACGGTCTTACCAAATCAAATTATTGTAGCACTAATTGCCTTTTTCTACATGACCCATTTTTAGACTAAATAAATATTATCCAAATCAATCTTAATCTCAATATATTCAAGCAGATATCAACTTCAGCACCCTGGTCGTTTTTTCTTTCCCTATTAGAGTTAAAGTGAGCTGGGCATTTTGTTAACTTGAAAACACTTCAATACCACTTTTGTTAAGCAACTCAATCCATGACATGTTCATATCAAACATGGTTTTCTTCCTTCATCTTTTGAAAATCTTTGTCTAGAGTATGCACCATTGTTGTGAAACGGGAACAATACGAATTAAAGACGATAAAGTAAAAGACACAAGATTTACGTGGTTCGGCAATATGCCTACGTCCACGGCGGAGCAGAGATCTTATTATTATTCACGATATCCCAAATACATCAATACACCATGTATTTATATCATATCCCTACAAGGTATAAATTTACATAAATACCCCGTACCGCTCGCAGGCATCGGCCTGCCTCCTTCCTTTGTCAATATATGAGCCATATCAACAAATCTCCACCTTGGCGAATATATCACCTCCTTAGGAGAATACAATAGCGAGCAACTATGCGAGACACACCAAGCAGGCCGGGGGTACCATGCAACTCTAGCATGCAGAAACATTCAACAAATCCAAACAATGTTTGAATTTGTCATAAGTAACAGTCTTAGTCAACATATCAGCAGCATTCTCTTCAGTACGAACTTTCTCCAACTGAATATCCCCAGAAGCAATCCATTCCCTAATCTTGTGGAACCTCACATCAATATGCTTCGTCCTAGCATGATATACTTGATTCTTAGCCAAATGAATAGCACTCTGACTGTCACAATATAATAGAACTCCACCTTGCTGAATACCCAACTCTCTAACCAATCCAGCAAGCCACACTGCTTCCTTTGCCGCTTCAGCCAAAGCAATATACTCAGCTTCAGTTGTAGATAGAGCAACTATAGGCTGAGTATGCGACCTCCAACAAATGGGCCCTCCACCAAAAGTGAAAACATGCCCAGTGGTAGATCTCCTACTATCCAAGTCGCCAGCATAATCAGAATCCACATATCCTACAACCAAGGGATCCAACTGCTGATCTCCAAACACAATACCATGCCCCGCAGTGCCTTTCAAATATCTGAAAATCCATTTAACTGCCTCCCAATGCTGTTTACCCGGCCTAGACATGTACTTGCAAACTTGACCAACAGCATGAGCTAAATCAGGACGAGTACATACCATGGCATACATCAAACATCCAACAGCACTGTACTCGCGGAACTCCGCTCGCAGGCATCGGCCTGCCTCCTTCCTTTGTCAATATATGAGCCATATCAACAACCATACACCAGTCTAACCCGAACTCGAACTTCTAATACTCAAAACTCCACCGAACCAAACTTGTTGATATAATGAGTGCGAACTCGACTCATTTATTAATATTAACGGATCAACCTTGAGACAAAACAAAAATTAAGACTTAACAAGTTAAATTACAAAAAATATGTAAAAATTTATATTTTTAACAACCTGAACTGATCTATACAAGTTGGAACTCGATTCATGTTTACAAGCGATTCATTTTGTTTAATAATTCTAATTGAACTCATCCATATCATGCCCTGATATATACATACATGTGTCTATGGTTGCCAAACACACAAAAAAATAAATAAAAAAAAATTCAAATACTAACAAATATTTACAATTATAAAAATTAAAAGTATTTTCCACTAGTGGATTATTCTAGTTTTATGAGTGTATTTATAGTAAAGTTTTTAGGCTACAGTTGTTCCGACGGCTCCTCTAAATTAAGTTCAACAGTGTTGACTAGTAAAAATATATGTTTCTTTTAATAAATTATTTCATTTAAAATAATAAAAATAAAAATATCTACCGAACCAAAGAGCTTTTTTCAAGCTAACTCAACCAACCCACCAAAAAAAATAAAGAAAAAAAAAGAAACACACAATTATTCCTTTTTCTACTTATTTATCTTCACTATTTACATTACACCGGCATAATTAATTTTCACAAAATGGGTCTGTTTCTAGTGCTTGCTGTGTAATTTCTTGCAGCTGAGCATCGTTGAGAGCTTTCATACTGTTAATTTTGAGAAAAAACAGTGTAGTAGGCTCTCACACTAAACGAAGAGCTCTCGTTTGGGGAAGAATTAGTTCTTCGAAAGCTGAGATTTTTACAACATAATTTGTGGGAGTTTTGAGGGTTTCAGTGTCTGGGTTTTTGTGGTTACGTCGTATAATGCTGGGTTTTTTAAGGTTGTTTTATGGGTCGGAGCCAATCGGGGAAGTGCCGGCGATTTGATGGGAAAGAAGCTGTTCTTCACTCCAAACGTCGTCGTTTCATGGAGTTGAGGATGCGGTGCAACCGGTATGCCGAGGTTTCTTCACTCCTAAGGTTTAAACTGAATTTCGCTGCTTTTGTGAAGGTAAGCTCTACTGCCTTGTTTTGTTTTGTTTTGTTTTGTTTTTTGTTTTATTTTTTTGTTCGATTATTATTACTATTATTTATTATTTTTCCTCCGAAACTGTTAGTGCTGATATGTGGTAATGCTGGGGGATGAAAATAGATTTTCTTTTCTAGATTTTGTTAGCTTTCGTGCACAGTTCCCAGCTCAGCTCAGTTTATAGTGTGTAATTTTGTGTTTTCTGTTCCTATTTTTGGTGAATTTTGTTGTTATGAACTAGGAGATTTTCAACTATTTTTTTTGCAAGATGGGCTAATTATTACGATTCCGTGTTCTTGGATAATTTCCTTTCTGGGTATTTTAACTCCATTTTACATGAACGTTTATGTTTCTCGCTCCTTTTAATAATCAAATGTGTACCATTATCAATCTTTTCCATTCTCCAAAATATCAACCTTCTTCGAGGTTTGTGTGCTCACCTGCTATCCCCTTGAGCTAATGGTTTTTGGCTAAAATATGTGTCAATTGAATAATTTTTCGGGTATTAGCCCGACAACATTATGGTGCTCAGATCCAGCTTGTTATCTCTGTGCAATTTCGATCTAATTATAGCATATTACTAGAAAATCTCTTACTTTCTATATCATTTATCCTTGAAAGTAAATCACACTAAGCTTTACCGTAGAAGCTGACTTCAATAGATCTCACTTTGGAAGTCTCCTGATTGTATGAACTCCATTTGTTGTTTCAGGTTCTACTATTTTTGCTGCTTTTGGAAGCTGCATTTGCAACGGCCGAAGCTTTTAGACTGCAAAGGCTGAGAGCAGAACTGAGCAAAGATAATATAGAAAAACATTCTTGCATTCACGAACAGATTATTGAACAAAGAAAAAGACCAGGCCGAAAGGTGTTCACCGTGTCTACTCAGGTCTATGTTGAACCCGATGTTCAGAAGCCCCTCCAAAGGAAAGGAAGGGCTTTACTTAGTGTGCCTGAATTATCAAGAAATGAAATTGATGCCAAGAAACCCATTAGGATTTATTTAAATTATGACGCTGTTGGCCACTCGTCTGATAGGGACTGCAGGAATGTGGGGGACATAGTGAAGGTGAGTGTGTGCAACGAATATTGAAGCAGAAAAAAATTGTGGTCTGATATTAATTATAAGTTTGTGGGTTCACATTTTGCTGTTATTGGTTAATTTATTTATTTTCCTTCTCTTTTTTGTTGTTTATATGTTTCACTATGCCAGTTGGGCGAGCCAAACGATGCTTCCTTTTCTGGTGGTCCTTCGTGTGATCCACGTGGGGAGCCTCCGATTTACGGCGATTGTTGGTATAATTGTACAGTAGATGATGTAGCTGGGGAGGACAAAAAGTACCGTCTTCGCAAGGTTATGCTCTTACTTTCTTTTGCCCCATTTCTCCATACCGAGCTCTTAACAAAATGCATATTATTGTTAGCTAGATTTATGAATATGCTTAATTTTTCATTTTTTTTATATTTTTACATGATACACTTAGTCATTTCGTTATATATTGCACAATTTAAAAGGCGTGTTAGGAATAACTAACATTAGAGTGTTCTCCAGGCTCTGGGGCAGACAGCAGAATGGTTCAGAAGCGCCTTATCTGTTGAGCCTGTAAAGGGCAATTTGCGGCTGAGTGGATATTCTGCCTGTGGTCAGGATGGAGGGGTCCAGCTTCCCAGGGAATATGTCGAAGGTTATCTTTCTTGCAAAAATGACTCGCAACTTAAAGAATTGAGATTAGTTCTGCATGGTCTTTATACACATCTTATATTCTATCACAAGTAATATGTTTTATTTCTACCAACTTCTTTAGAGGGTGTGGCTGATGCGGATTTAGTTCTTTTGGTCACAACAAGACCAACCACTGGAAATACTCTGGCATGGGCCGTGGCATGTGAACGGGACCAGTGGGGTCGAGCTATTGCTGGTATACTTGTCTTTTTCTCTTTCTTTTATGATAAGATGAGATGGGTCCCACCAAGAGGGAGTTTGATCGTATATATGATCACTTTTATGTTCAGGTCATGTAAATGTTGCACCTCGCCACTTAACTGCTGAAGCAGAAACTTTGCTTTCTGCCACGCTGATTCATGAGGTGTGTTAATCGGACTGCACTGCTTTTGGAAAGTCTTGAGATGTGTTTTTTTATCAGAAGTCGTGAAAGTTTTGTAAATTGTAGGTTATGCATGTTCTTGGGTTTGATCCTCATGCTTTTGCTCATTTTCGGGATGAGAGAAAAAGAAGGCGCACTCGGGTAAGTATTGTTACGATTTTCAATTGCTATTACGCAGGAGACTTCTCTGTTGGAGCCTCTTGTGCATTTTGTATTATGTAATTTGTCAATCTTGATGATTGAGTGCTCTTTATCTTGATTGAGCACAAAGTGGTCTTTGGTAGCTGCGCTGCTTTCTTTTGGTTGTACATTTAGTGTTTGGATACTACACAACTCCTGGAAAATTAAACCAGTAATTAACTAATTATACTGTTTTGAAACTTGATTGTGGTAGTTGACCATCCGTAAATGGAACTCATTTATGAAACTGAATGTATGTGCCCAAATGTCAAGTCCAGATGACTATTGGGTCAAGAACTTTATAGGAATTGTATTCTTTTCAGTTTCTTTTTCTTTTTGTTTCTCTTATTTTTACTCACCGACTAAAGTGCTTATAACTCTATACCAACAGAACTAATGCATGAAATATAATGTCATGGATGAAGCTTCTCGATTCCCTATATCAACCTAAAATGGCTTATCCATTAGAAGAAAGTTCATGGCAGTCACTTGAATATGCTGTGTACTCTCTTTTCCCTTCGATGGAATCGCTGAATTTAAGTCTCTGTGCAGGTGACGGAGCAAGTCATGGACGAAAAACTTGGACGGATGGTAACAAGAGTGGTTCTTCCTCGAGTTATCATGCACTCACGATATCACTATGGGGTGAGCCCTCTCGCTCTTTATGTAAATTGCATTTCACCCCAAAGAATGTTAAGGAGCTTTTGGTTGAGAATTCTTTGCATTGTCGTCATCGCTGGTAAATGAAACACGTCTGGCAATTTTTTTTTTTTTTTTTTTTTTNTTCAAGGCTTTCTCCGAGAACTTCACTGGTTTGGAGCTTGAAGATGGCGGTGGGCGTGGCACTTCCGGTAATAATTTCTTTCACCATTTCAAAAGTTTTGTGTTAGTTCCATAACCGGGTCACTTGTTTTATACTCACTTGTTTAGTGCATGCTTGGATACAATTTTTTCCCCAAAAAAAATCCAATCATTTTTAACCAATCAATTTTTATTTTTATTTTTTAACATAAATCTAACTCAACTTTAACTACTCCCACTATCCTCAATACTATCAATATAATTAAATAGTACAACTCAATCATTCTTACACATTACAATCACTATTCATCCACTCACATAATTTTAACTAACCATCACGTCACATCATCTCTCTCCTACATTTACATCAAAGCAACTTTATTTATTTTATTTAAATATTCTTTTAATATAAGCTTAAAATCCCACTAACAACTAACCATACCACTTTTTTTTTTTTTTTTNATGCCAAACCAAAAAATCCAAACAAAATCAAAACATCTTATATCCAAGCATAGTATAACTGTTAAAAATTCCTTGACAGGGTCCCACTGGGAGAAGAGACTCTTGATGAATGAGATCATGACGGGCTCGGTTGACACGAGATCAGTAGTTTCTAGAATGACACTTGCTCTGCTTGAAGATAGCGGGTGGTATCGAGCTAATTACAGCATGGCTGACCATCTTGAGTGGGGTCGTAATCAGGGCACTGAATTTGTCACGTCTTCTTGCAACCAATGGAAAGGAGCCTACCATTGCAACTCGACTCAGTTTTCCGGGTGTACGTATAATAGGGAGGCCGAGGGCTACTGCCCTATAGTGAGCTACAGTGGAGATCTTCCTAAGTGGGCCCAATATTTTCCGCAGCCTAACAAAGGTAAGCCTGTCTTTGCGTGTATGTTTTGTTTATTTTCTGAAATTTGAATGATATTAGGTTCCTTTTAGGTGCAGTTGGCTCAGAGCACTTACATGTATAGTTCTTTTGGTAGTATATCATTATCTATCATAAATTGACCAGGCAAATTGTACGTAACCTGCTCTGATTTGGTAGAGCTCTTGATGGCATATCAATCAATAAGAGGGAATATCCTCTCATGGAAATTTAAGTTTTCTCAAAGAGATAAGCAGCACTAAATTGATTACACAACATTTATATAATATTTAGTTTAATTTTGTCATAGGAATTTGTTTTGTTAATGGTTTGAATGGTTCATGATTTTGGTATACTGCTNATTTTATTTTATTATTTAGGTGGGCAGTCATCATTGGCTGATTACTGCACTTATTTTCTGGCCTACTCTGATGGTTCATGCACGGACACTAATAGTGCTAGAGCACCTGACAGGATGCTAGGTGAAGTACGAGGAAGTGATTCGAGGTGTGTTTATTATTTTTATTTTTTTATTTATTTACTTTTATGTAAATTATGAAGTTGAGAAATGATAATTATTAAATTTTCTTGAGCTGATGCTATTTGTAGGTGCATGGCCTCATCGTTAGTACGTAGCGGTTTTGTAAGAGGATCTACTACGCAAGGAAATGGTTGTTATCAGCACAGGTGTCTAAACAACTCACTCGAGGTACTCATGACTTTCAAATGATGTGTAATTTTGGTGCGCGTCATAATCGAGTTCTGTTTTTACAGACTAGAGTTTTTTTTTCCTCTCCACTCGGTTTCAGATTCGAATTTTAACGAACTTGATTATACAAAAATCATTTTTTACGAGTATATTATTGGATGCTTTCGTAGGTTGCTGTGGATGGCATCTGGAAAATCTGTCCTGAAGCTGGTGGGCCCATTGAATTTCCTGGTTTTAACGGTACTGATACTGACAGTTATATTGTTTTTATAAAGTAAACAATAGTTCCTTGATTTCGTTGCGATTATAACCTCACTGTTCTCTGGCTATAGGTGAGTTGATCTGTCCTGCTTACCACGAACTCTGCAATGTGGGCCCACTTTCTTCATCTGGTCAATGCCTTAATTCGTGCCAGTTTAATGGTGATTGCATCAACGGAAGATGCCACTGCTTTTTAGGGTTTGAGGGTGAAGACTGTAGCAAGCGTGAGTGCACTAATTAGCTAACCATTTTTCTCACCCACAAGCATCACATTATGAAATTTGCCCGACTCAATCTTTTTTTTTTTTCCAAATAAATTCATTTACAGGTTCTTGCCCAAACAACTGTGGTGGCCATGGCAAGTGCCTCGAAGATGGTGTTTGTGGCTGTGAAAATGGATACACTGGCATCGACTGCTCAACAGGTAACATTGTCATTAACTCATAAAAAATCTACTTTCTTATTATAATGTGAAAAATGAAATTCTAAAAAATCCATATTCCCATAAAATTATCAATTATTGACACACACAAAAAAAAAAAAATCGGGTTTCGAGTGACATCATCAATACCATGTTCTGATACATTGGATATAATATATCTTGTTCCAGCCGTTTGTGACGAGCAGTGTAGCCTACACGGGGGTGTGTGCGATAATGGGGTTTGCGAGTTCCGGTGCTCGGACTACGCCGGCTACAGCTGCCTCAACACCTCGACAGCCCTCCTTCCGGCACTCTCTGTCTGCCGGGAAGTCCTTCCGGCTGCCGGAAAACACTGTGCTCCGGCAGACCCCAGCATTCTCCAGCAGCTCGAGCGGGTAGTCGTTATGCCAAACTACCACCGTCTCTTCCCCGCCGGGCCCCGCAAGTTCCTCACTTACTTCCTCGGCAGAGGCGCCAGGCGGGACTGCGATCGAGCCGCAAAGCGGCTTGCATGCTGGGTAAGTTTTTCTTTTTAAATAATGTTTATTTTTTTTTCTTCAATATGAATTGATTTTAAGTCTGAAGTTTTGGGGAAAAAAATGAAAAAAAAATGTCACTTTGCACAATTTCTTTAACCTACTTGAGCCTCGAGGACTGAATTGAAATTTTTTTATTTTATCACTACAGAGATTAACAGCTTTTTTCCTCCTCTCCCAATTACTGTCATTAATTTCTCATATGTGAAGACCTATGTATAATAACTAGTTATATCATCAGTAAAAATGAAAATAAGAAAGTATTGTCTGCTTCTGGATCTATTGGCTCACTGGTTAATCAATGGCTCAATATGTTCCAATTTTTGTTTTCATTTCATTTGACGAATGACACGTGTCCATGATGATGTCATAATTGTATACGTGTCATTCATCTAATGGAATGAAACAAGAATTGAAACATGTCTGTGTTTGGTAAGCATATAAGCTAGCTTATAGCTTATGATGTCATAATTGTATACGTGTCATTCATCAATTGAATGAAACAAGAATTGAAACATGTATGTGTTTGGTAAGCATATAAGCTAGCTTATAGCTTATTTGATTAGCTTATAAACTTCCTAAGTTTGGTTTGGTAGGATTGAGTTTTTTTTTAAACAGCTCGAGCTTATCTCATAAGCTTCTTAGATAACTTTTCAAATAAGTCCATTTAAATTTTTATTTTAGGCTTTCAGCTATCTTTATCAATTAATTTTACCATACAACTTTTATCATATAAGCTAGCTTTTCAGCCATAAAGTATCAACTAATAGCTCTAAATTCACTTAAAAGCTATAAGCTAACTTATCAACTAGGTTTACCAAACATAGTTTTAGGAAGTGGAAATCTCACCCCAGGGCCCAGGCTAAATTAAGTAGCAGAGTTTTCTTTATAATGAATGGCATTTTACGTGTTTTACTCACGAGCTGGTTCGGCTTACTTGAAAACTCACAGATATCCATCCAAAAGTGTGACAAGGATGGGGATAACAGGATACGAGTGTGCCACTCGGCATGCCAAGCGTACAACTCAGCATGTGGGGCCTCCCTTGATTGCTCGGACCAAACCCTGTTTAGCAATGATGACGAGGCCCAAGGACTGTGCACGGGCTGGGCCGATTTCACGTCATGGTTGTGACCCGGTTTGCAAGATTCGGCAAATTTATGTATATTGTAGGGAAGCTTTTCGAGCCCATCTTTATTTTTTTTTGGCTCTTATTTTTAGGTTTCCCGTTTTTGGGTGGGTAGGGTTTAGTAAATTTGCTGGTTGGTTAATTTAGTGTAGATTTTTTTTTTTCTCATTTTTCCCTTGCCTTGTGTGGCAAAATATGCTTGGGAGGGAACTATTGTTGAAGCTGGGTTTTCGAAGATGGAAGCCCAGATGTAGAAAGTATTATTATATATTAAAAAAGAAGGAACAAATTGAAAAAAACAAAAAAAACAAAAATTTAAAAGTGTAAAAGAGAGAATTATGTAAAACTTGGCCCAAGGCCTTTTGATGAAAATGTTAAATTGTATGGTCCTTTTGGCTTTTGCATAAAATTGTTTGGTTTGTTTTTTGTATTCCGTTGGGGTTTAATGCACCAAACCCCCTTGTATTATACGAAATCTGCGCGTTTCCACCCTGTATTTTAAAAATTGCGTCAGACCCCCTTCTATTAAGGTTTTGTATGCGCGAAACACCTAAAATTTAGACGTTTTAGGGTGTTTTGCGCATACAAAACATTAATAGAAGGGGGTCTAACGCAATTTTTAAAATACAGGGGGGAAACGCGCAGATTTCGTATAATACAAGGGGGTACTATATATTTTACCCTATTGCGTTGTGAACTTGTGCAGTACTTTGAGCAGATGATTGACTTTGTTCTAATTTGGTATTCTATTACAAAGAATAATGCTATTTTAGCATGATTTTTTTTGCGTAACTTTATGTCAATTTGATGTCACTGTACCATTATCTGTTCGGCCTATAGCTACTAGGCCTATACCTCTTTGTATAGTCTTTAAAAATTACTAATTTATTAGTTATATCAAATTGGATCTCCAAAAATGAGTTAATTATATGATACGGTGGCTAAAGATAAATTTTATTAGAAAGATAACTTTTATTAATCCGTGATCTGAAAAAATCGAATTTATCAATTCAAATAATAATTTAATTTCTATTAGTTTGGAGTTCAAAAGGTGAATAAACTATCAAATAGGCACCTAAAAGGTAAAATTTATTAAGTATTTGAAAGATAGAAAACCACTGTTTTGTGACCCGGACCGATCCTGCGGGACGACTCGGGACCCAATCGACCCGGAGCTGGAATCGGTCCGGGTGGAGTATTTGGACCGGGCAACCAAGGACCCGGTCAAAACCCGACCGACCCAGTCGAGACCCGGTCGGGTCAACCGGTCCATATATATTTTTTATATTTTTTTTTATTTTTTTATTTTTTCAAAATAAAACTTTGTATATATATTTTTATGGTAAATATTTATCATGAGATACATATTATTAACACTTTAATATACAAATTTTATACACAAAAATTTAATTTTGTTACTTTTATGTATATTTATATAACAAAAATACTATATATATAATTTTAAAAAATTTTAAAATTAATTATCCGGTTCAGCAATTGACCTGGTGGCCCGACGGTTGAACCGGTGACCCGGTGACCCGAGGACCTGCCCGGGTCGATCACCGAGCCGGGTTTAAAAACTATGTAGAAAACTATCAATTTAATAGTTAACAATATTAATTATTAATAATTATCTCACGAACATAAATAACAATATCAAAATTTAATTACGATTATTTTCCATCTCTTTTTCAATTTTTATATATTCAAATATTTTTTTAGTTATAAATTTTTAAACTTACTATTATTTTTCATCTCTTTTTCAGTATTTGTATATAGTCAAATAACTTTTTATTTACAATATTTGTTTTTGGTAATTGCTGAAACAATATTTATTTTACTTTTTTTATCAGTATTTTATTACATTTAAATACTTTTATTTATTTTCTTAGAAACCACATCTAAAATCTCAAAGTTAATAGTTTTAAATAAATATAAAAATATATTATAATATTAAGTAAAAAAATTTACTTACATGACATATAAGAATTCTATTTATTTTGAAGTTGTATGGATCAAGCAAAAATAGTTTTTATCCGAATCAAAATTCGAAGCATGTAATGTTGTTAAGTTAGCTTCCGAAACGTGCGAGTCAACCATTTAAGCTCAACACGTTTTGAAATTATACAAAGGAGTCAAATGAGAAGGGATAATTGAAAAAAGGCAATATAATAAATAAATAAATAAAAACTTAATTTGCTCTTTTGTCGAGACTCGTTCATCGCCCTTTCTCACATTCTGTGTTTTTTACTTTTTTTTCTTCTCCCATTTTCTCTCTCTTAATATTCTCTTTCGTTCTCTCTCATCATCCATTTTGATATAAACCGAGTGCGCACGCCTCTGCAAATCTGAAACCCTTGAGCTTAGCACGGCCGTCCTTTTTCTTTCAGTTTTTTCGTCAACACAGGTATGGATTCGCCTCCGACGTTGACCGTTTTCAACGGAAAACGTAGTTCAAGGTGTCTGTGTGCTGTAACGATTGATAGTTGTTGCTCCATGTACAGGCTTTCGTTTTTCCGGATCGTTCGATTTTAGCTGAATTCGGTTCTGTATTTACGATTTTGTTTTTCGTTTTCTTGATATGTTTCTTCGTTTGTGGATTTTGTCATGTTTTGAGCTTAATCCGACTGTTCGTGGTTGAGTTCTGTGTGCGATGATGTAGTAGGAGTTCATGGTGGTTGTTTTCTGTGTTGTTTGGGTTATTGTTTTTTATACCACTGAAATTGATGGATAGAGAGGCTTATGGCTGCTGTTTGCTCTTGTTATCGTTGTTGTTTTTCCGACATTCTTCTGGTTTGGGTTCTGGAGGATTGCAGACTGTACAAGCTATTAGATTATAAATACTCTGTGAGTTCGTATTGTTTCTGCTGTGGGAGAAAATGTTTGCTGGACTCAAAAAGCTTTGAGTAGGAAACTTATTTTAAGTGGTTTGCTTTTCTAACTTGATCTGAACCATATTTCAATCTTATTCATGTTTATCAGTAGTTGCATGGTATTTTTAAAAACTTGAATGTCTAACATAACTCATTTACCCACAGAAGCTTTCTGCATAAAAAAAAATTATTATGTTTTTCTTGTTTTTAAATTTCCTGCATGTTGATCTCTTAGTGTATATTTCCAAATTGTATCTCACTTTTGAAATTCATTTTTTTATTTAAAGTACACGCTGGCTTTGTTGATTGAACTTGATTAAATGTGAGATAGAATTTTTACAAGGATAATGTGGGCAAGAATGAGAGAACTTCTGAGTTGTTTATGTCAAGTTATAACAGATAGTGTTTCTTGTCTGAATTTTCTTAATTTTTTTTTCATGATATCTTTAATATAGTCTCTGAATTATATATGTAGACACCATGATAAAGTTGTTTAAAGTAAAGCAAAAGCAGAGAGAACTTGCTGAAAGTGCTAACGGAAAGCCTTTGGGCAAGAAGCAAAGTGCCGGAGAATTGCGTCTTCAGAAAGGTCTGATTCATTCTTATATGTTAATGCCGTTTGAATTTTTCCCTTTTTCATCGATATGTGTATAAGACTATTTTTGTTTCATTTCTTCATTTGTTTTTGCAACACCTTTTTGCAGTATATGGAATTCTGTGCTTAGCAATATTGAGATCGATGCTTTGCGAGAAAAATATGTTGGGTGATTTTCTAGAATTGGCTAACACTATGTTGATGTTAAGCATAATTGGTGGGGGGTTGAAATGGGCTGTGAGTAACTAAAATTGCTAGCTGATTATGTTTACTTAGGCTTGTTTTTTCAATGATCAAATTTTGTTTTCGGAGTCCTATGTGTGTGAGATTTTTTTTCTTTTTTAATATTACAACTTGCGAATATAGGTAACATGTGTGGTATCGTCCATTTGATAAGGTTGATCATTTATGGTCCTGTTTCATTGCCATGCTTTCCATCCTAGAGAATTCTGTGTTCACCATGCTTTACTTGCTTGCTCATTTGAGATGAACTCCCAAAGAATTAATGCTTGGAAACTCACATTGTTGTTTGGCCTAACCCACTTTCTAAATGATTCACAAATGCATATCCGTCATGTATTTGTCACTTGTGGGATTTGTTGAGTTCTACAATCTGGAACTGGTTTCTCTTAATGTTGGTCAGAGATATTTTCAGGACTTCCTTTTTCTTTTCTAAATTGATCTGGTACATGTAAGATTGTTCTTAAAAAAATTTATTAGAAGATTCCGTAAACTCCTTTTGGCTTTGGACAAAGTTGACATAACTGCAAGGGAACTATTGCAAACCTACCTACCCGATTTATTTTTTTATTTTTTATTTATTTTTTAAATGCGGTTGCATAAAGATATCTGCAAATGCATAGTGCCAAGGGTGTCCATTATAAATTCCAGACTTCAAATTTGCTGATTGTATGTATACGTCTTCTCTGGAAGCCTCTTTCATCCATTTAACACGACTTTCTTTAATTCCATTTTTTTTTTGTTTTTGTTTTCGGAATGCAGATATTACCGAACTGAATCTGCCGAAAACATGTAGCATATCATTCCCTAATGGCAAGGATGACCTCATGAATTTTGAAGTTACCATTCGCCCTGATGAGGGATATTATCTGTAAGTACTTGGACACTGAGCAAAGGCCTTTTTTTTTTCCTCCTTTTTCTTTTTTCATGTGCAATTTTTACCGACACGATTACCTTTTTTCCCAGGGGTGGAACATTTGTTTTCTCTTTCCAAATCTCTCCAATCTATCCTCATGATGCTCCCAAGGTTAAATGCAAGACGAAGGTAATACCAACTTACCAATACAAATAAAGTCTGTATGTTTCCATGTAGTGTCATCACTTTATTATATAATGAGTTCCGCACCAAATCCTGTTATTACAATTCCGATATATTACAGGTCTACCATCCCAATATCGACCTGGAAGGAAATGTCTGCCTAAACATCCTCAGGGAAGACTGGAAACCAGTGCTGAATATAAACACCATCATTTATGGACTCTATCACCTTTTCACAGTAATCATTTATAGTTTTTTGCTCAAAATTCTTCCTTTTTTATCTTCATATTTCTATTACGAAACTCTTTTGCGCGTAGGAACCGAACCACGAGGATCCTCTCAATCATGATGCTGCTGCAGTATTGAGAGATAACCCAAAAATGTTCGAATCGAACGTCAGGAGAGCCATGAGTGGTGGCTATGTGGGCCAGACTTACTTCTCACGCTGCATATAGCTCTTTTTGTGAAGATTTGCATCAGCTTTGCCGGAAGTTCAGAAGGCTGTACATTGTGACCACTCGTCTTATCTTTAGGTCTTCCTGCTTTGAAAATCCGAGGGTTGTTTTAATTCGCAGTAATATCGTGTATCTAAAGAAGCAGAAAGCTGGGATTTATCTGTATGCTGCTCTAACTTTGTGCTTTTACGCGGACTTATTCATTGTGCACTGGGATTTAAGTACTTTTAACTCTTTTCTACTGGAGAATGTGTGGTGAAGGACTGCCTTTTGATTTATGCTTCTACGAGTTACGACTCATCTTAAATTGCCTTTAGGTTTGTAAAATATGGTCAATCTGCTACTGTGGTTTCATTTTTCAATAAATATGTGTTCATTTTTTATCATTGGTAAAAGAAGAAGATGAAGGGGTGGGGTGGTAGGACTGACTGAGAAGAAGCTAGAGTTTGAACTTTGAAGTCATTTACATTGACTTACTCGCTCTCACTGCTGGGAAAGCTTTTCTATATTACATTGTGATATTTGGGAAAGCTTTTCTATATTACATTGTGATATTTGGGACCTTATCGCACAAAATCAATTTATGGGGCTCATTATTTTCTCACCATTGTTGATGACTATAGTCGGGCCGTTTGGACTTTCTTGATGCGTGATAAATCTGACACTCGTCGTCTTTTGCCTATCTTTGTCACGATGATTCATACACATTTTGGTCGTGCCATTAAATTTTTTCGTTTGGACAATGGTAAAGAATTTTTATTGGGGTCCTTGCAAAACCTTTTGACCAACATGGCATTATACACTAAAAATCTTGTGTCTATACCCCACATCAAAACGGGCATGTTGAACATAAACATCGCCACATTCTCAATGTGTCACGTGTCCTCTGTTTTCAAGCAAATCTACCAATAAAATTTTGGGGTGAATGTGTTCTCACAACCACATACATCATTAATCATACCCCAACACCACTTTTATCGGGTAAGTCCCCACTCGAGGTTCTTCATGGAAAATTGGTCCCATATGATCATCTTCGTGTCTTTGGGTGTTTGTCTTATGCAAAATTTTTCCCGCGTCCTTTCGATAAATTTGCATCTAAGTCCCGTCGATGTGTATTTCTTGGTTATCTTCATGCTATAAAAGGCTGGAAACTTTATGATTTGGATACACATAAAATCTTCATTTCCCGAGATGTCATTTTTCATGAAAATCATTTTCCTTACATTCCCGAGCCCACTGCTCTGGAATTTCCCCTGGGACGCGAGTACACCTCAACCTTATCACAGCTCAATTCCACCGTTACGGGCAAACCATTAGGCTTGGTCGGTGTTGATATCAAGATAGAATATCTTGAAATTATGGTTCGATTAAAGAAATCTTAAGTTTAATCCGCAAACTGGATCTTGCCTGAAGTCAGGTAGAATAAATGGCACCTCGGTAATCTCATCTCGGTACTTGTGAATGATACTGCAAATCTTCGAAAGTCGTCAACGCAAGTCATTTTAACCTTGAAAGGACCAACTCGGTTGAAGAATAATTTATCAGGAAGTCGTAGAATGCTGAAAGTCTGTCAAAGCACCGACATCGCAAGACGAACCGACTTCAATCCGACAGATGTGACACTCGTCACACAGATAGAGGCGTGCCCATGCTAATCATTACCTAAAAGGTTCACCTACGTCATCGCCGCTCCTAAGTTGTCAAATCTTCATTAAAACGGAAATGATTTGTCTAGGGATGTGTGCCGAGCATAGCTATAAATAGCAGCTTCGAAAACGATACAAGGATTCGGCAAAACTGATAAACACGCATATATTCAACTCGGTGCTTTCCTTGTTTACCGACTTGGTGTACATTGAAAAACCAACTTCCTTACTCTGTAACCGACTTTAAAATCTTCAATAAAATTCTCATTTTCTGCAAACTTCGTGTTAATTTTTCATTGATTACGTTGATCAAATCCGTTTATCAACATTTTGGCGCTAGAAGAAGGGCTCCATAAGATATTTGGAGTTAATTTTCGAAATAAACACACCACATCTCAAAAAATCAAGAATGTCGCAGTCCGGACAAGATAATCCAACGACCATGGGAAGCGCTGTTCGTGTTGTTGAACCGCCAACCGGTCAACATAATCCAGTACCGGACATAGCTACGCTCATGCAGAACCCAGAATTTGCTCGAGGACTCACCGCTTTGTTGGCTCAAACTATGCCAGGGCCATCACAAAGAATACCTGGACAACCTTTTGCTCCTATAACTCCGGCGAGGCAGCAAGGTCCTCTCATGCAAAGGGATAACGACAATCAAGCGGCGTCACACGCCACTTCACAACCACGCAACAACAATCCCCCCCCTCCACCGGCAAACAACGTGCTGCCGGCGGAAATGAATCAGCCGGAAATGAACCAACCTGAGATGAATCAACCAGAGATGGTTGCTGAAAGTCATCCCCGGCATGTTGAAAGTCACCCTCGGCATGTCCCCAGAATTCCCCATGCAGTTCGTTCACTGTTTCAACAAACCGAAAATCCGGCTGACTTAAGAATGCAAATTGAACGCAATCGTTACGCTCGACGTAACGTTTCCGAGGTCGAAGCGTTAAGAAGAAAGGTGGCAGAATTGGAAGCCAGACAAACCACTCAAATCAGGCCATATCAGAATCCTCACGTGTCAGAACCGGGCCATGTCTATATGGAAGTCGGTTCTCCTCTGTCACCCGAGTTGACCAGAGGTCCGTTGCCGGGAAAAGTCAAAGTCCCCCAAATTGGCCTCTATGACGGGAACGCTGATCCAGACGCTCATCTCGGACATTATACGTCATGGATGGATTTGCATGGAGCAGACGATGCCCTACGATGTCGTATGTTTTCCTTGACCTTAGGTCCTAAAGCTCAGAAGTGGTACTATTCACTATCAACCGAATCGATCAGATATTGGGGTCAACTCAGGTCGGCTTTCAGGTCTCATTTCATCGGGGCCCAAATTAGCTTAATACCTAAGGAGTCAATTACGAACATAGTCCAAAAGGAGGATGAAAGTTTAAAAGACTATATTGCACGTTTTAATGAACGCGTGCAAAACATGGAACCTTGTCATCCTGAGACTCTCCTTGTCTCAGCAATCTCTGGATTGAAACCGAGATCCATGTTTCGTTGGGCGTTATGTCAGAACAAACCCAGCACCTTTCAAGAATTCCTTGTCCGGGCTCAACAGCATGTTATTGCCGAGGAGTCCATGTCAGTTCCCAACTTTGAGTTCTCCCCATCAAAAGGGCAGAAGCCAACTTTTGAAAACAAGAAGAAGAAGCACCTCGGTAACCCGTCCAAAAGTTTACCTTTCAGAGAACCCTATAAAGGTGAACCGAACGATGCCGACGTAAAAGCTGCCAGGAGACAATACAAGGAAGATCTAACCACAGGTTACCGATCCATCTATTCGGTTGGTGCCGCAACGGTTTATCAAGAAATTAAAGGAAAAGGAATCATTCCTGAAGCCCGACCAGTCAAGACTCCCGAAAGTCAGTTGGACAAGTCGCGGTATTGTGATTACCATCGATCTCCAGGTCACAACACCGATGAGTGTTTAAGTCTATTGTCGGCTCTCCTGAAGTTGATTGGAAATCCACAAGTGAGAAAATTTACCAAACATGAAGGTAAAGAAAGGCGGCCAATAGCTCATCTTCCTGACCGAGATGAAGAAGACGAAGACGCAATGAACGCCAAAAGAGTTCGTTTACAACAAGGAGAAAAGGAGATATTCACGTTCGGGGCAGAAGGATCCAGGTCGGTTGATGACCGACTTGGAAAGAGAAATAGGGACTTCGAGAGTCCCAACGCTGACCACACTCCTCAAATCTCAATTCGATTGGGCTCGGTTCCCCGAATTAACACTAATCGAGAAGAGTTGACGTCCTCACGTCGGCAGGCCAAAGCATATGCTAGAAGAGCATACAACTCGGGGAAACAAATAATGAATACCGACCTGAGAGAAACAATTAACTTGCGCACGTGCCCGATCACTTTCACGTTAGAAGATGCAAGCCTGTTTGATCACCCTCATTCTGATGCGTTAATCATAACCGCCCCAATTTGCGGAATTCCAGTTCATCGCATAATGGTGGATACCGGCGCATATTCAAGTATACTCATGCTTCAAGCTTTCAGGAAGCTTGGACTTGACGCAGCCGACGTGCGTCCATGTAATGATAAGATACATGGATTCAACGGGAGTGTGTCCCTCCCGTTAGGTGAGATTACTCTTCCTATCCGATTTGGAGGTCATGGACAAACTTCTAAGGTCATTATGGAAAATTTTAAAATCATGGACATCAACAACGAATATAATGCCATCATTGGAAGGACAGCCCTGTACAAATTGCGAGCAGCAGTGTCCATTTTCCATTATGCAATCAAGTTTCCGACCGCTGATGGCGAGGGGACTCATTATGGCGATCAGTTGGGAGCTCGTGAGCTAATCTTAGCAATCCCTTCTCGGGAAATCCATAACGTTGAAATGCACGTCGAAGAAGAAGAAGAAATGATGGACTGTACCCGAATTCCACGAAGTTTGGTTCCCGAAAACATTCAAGATGCCGATCTTAGAGTTGTTACAAATCTGTCAGAAGTTCAACCGACATCGGCAGTTCCGACTTCAGATCTATCTAGAGTTGTCATAACTCTATCAGAAGTTCAGCCGACGTCGGCAGTTCCGACTTCAGATTCCCCCGAGGTTCAGCCGACGTCGATCATTCCTAATTCAAATCCTTCCAATTTAGACGATGTTATTGGAGAGGATATTACCCGAGATAGAGGGAGGAGGCCAGGAAAAGAACCAGTCTTGGAAGAAGACGAGTTAGATCCACGAAGTCAATTTAAAGAGAAGAAGCAAGAAAAAAGAGCCGAACCATCTGAAGAAACAGAAGTCATTTATGTTAATGAACCCATCTGTGACAAGCAACTTCGTATTGGAGCCAACCTCCCAGAACCTATTCGAACCGAACTCATCTCGTTTTTGAAGTCTAATGCCGACATCTTCGCCTGGAGGCACGAAGATATGAAAGGAATAGACCCGAAGGTGGCCTGCCATCAACTTAACATCGATCACACTATAAAACCCATCATCCAGAAGAGAAGGAAACTCGGTCCAGATCGACAACAAGCTTTAGAGGAGGAAGTCAACAAACTCATTGACAACAAATTCATCAAAGAAGCCAAATATCCGACTTGGGTATCCAATCCCGTCCTGGTGAAGAAAAGC